CCCCCCCCCCCCCCCCCAAACACCATCGTAACTATCAAGGCCCATATACGGGCCTAGGCTATAAGCCGCAGAGTCGTGAGGTTTGCGAAGATCAAAGGCCTCTCGAAGCTCGCCTTCGAGCCCAAATCCCAGGCGTCGATTGCCCTTAAGAAGGGCAGGTTCAGGGTTAAAGGCGTAGGGTGGGGTCTGTGAGTTCCTTCAAGGGGTTTTAGTGTGTAAATGGGGTTGAGGGTCTAAGATGGTTTAGGCTTTCAGGGGCTGCCGGTTTTGATATTCGCAATTGAGGGTGTGCTGAAAGACTACAGCAGAGTCAACGAGACCCGTACTGGGATTGTCCTAAACTTAGCTGTAACTGCCTCACTTACACCCTAAGTTCTTAACCCTAATCCCCTGATCTTACCTTTACATACCCTCATGATCCCCAAACCCTGATAAATTGTATGATCCCAAGACCTGGAACGAACTTGTTGCATGGTTTCTTGGATTGCAAGGCTGAAGCAGTGTAAGTTTAGGATTTTTGGGTTTGTTTTGCGTGAGCGCCGAAACTGCTCGCTGTTCCTAGCCTCTTGGGAATCATGCAACTGAACGATGTTTCCAGCAGCGTTTCTTTAGGTTTGGGGTGCACTGGAGGCGTCCCCTGTCCTGAGCGATAAGCGACACCGAAGCCCTATACTATAGTGGGCCCCAAGACCCTATTCTAGTTTTTAAGGCCCCTACATTATTGGGATCGACGTAGACTGGACATATCGCAGGGGCATACCTGTCGCCCCAAACCCTCCAAAATAGTAGGTTATGATCCCGTACTTGTGGGGTATAACCCGCTAAACAGTTATAGGTTTTTGGATCCACAGGTAGTAGGGTTCAACAACGATCAATCACGGTTTTGGAGCTTAGGGCTCAATAAGGATTATCTTCCAGTTTGTTCCTATAGAACCTAATTATTAGAAACATAAATAACTACAAATCTGATTCCTTTAAGGGTTCCCTATTAATTATATTATAAAGGAGCCCACGACCATTTTCGAATTATTAAGGCCCCTACTGTAGAACCTAATTAGTAGAAAATCAAGTAATTATTTTAATATGATTCCAGAGGGTTCCTTATTATAGCTATAGTATAAAGGAGATTATGCTGCCTGCTCCGAGAAGCAAGTCCCCACCGCAGTTGTTTTTCTGTCGGCGGGGGGGGGCCCTTGCAGAGGACCTCTGGTCCTTTAGACTTTAAGCGATGTTTGGCGTCTTGCTGTTAATATAGGGGCCTGAATAATTAGAATAGGGTTCGGGGGCACATTCTACTATAATTATAATAAGGACACCCCCCCAACAAAAAAAACAGTATTGGTAATCATTCAGGCCCCTAAATTACTTTAGTGGTTGAGCCAGACATTGGGGCAGATCGTTGGTGCCTGTAGCTCTGATATACTCGGAGGATCAGGGTTTTGCATTGTTGGTTTAGGGTTTAGGGTTTATGGGTTTAGGGTTCTAGGGTTTAGGGTTTAGGGTTCTAGGGTTTAGGGTTTATGGGTTTATGGTAAGCCTTTGCAGCCTTGTGGCCCTCATTCTCCTGTGCATGAGGACTCAGAAGTTCGATTCAGCAGTCAAACCCTTATAGTCCTAAGCCCCCTGAAGGTTTAGTTCATGAGGCATCGAGCCCTTCAACCCCCTTCGGGAAACTCGGCAGTCTTTAGCAAAACCCTAAGAAAGGTCTAAGGCTCATACACCAATCGATAGCTGAGTGCTGCATACAGGCGAAGGCAACCCCTAAAGCCTCTGTCCAGAGCGCCCTATCCACAACGCAGGAATAGCCGAGGTATTGGGACCCGAAACCCTATCCTAATTTTTGATTCAAGGCCCTTACACCCTAAACCCTTAAAGTAGCCCTTATAGAACCCTTTTAAAGAAACCCTTTGAAACCCCATTCTAATTATGAAGGCCCTTATATTAGGGGTATGAGGTTTAAGGTTTAGGGTTGATGGCAGCGCAAATTTCGAACAAAACTCGGCTGCGTTGGCTTTTTTGTTGGGTTTAGGGTTGAGGGTTTAGGGCCAATGTCCGCACTGCAGCGATGCTTACGGCAACGCGTGCTTGCTCCTCCAAGTCGGCTAACATCAAGGCGGCTGCGAAGCGCAATGCTCCTGAGCTCTCGATTGGGGCTTAGGGTTTGGGGTTTAGGTTTTGTTCAGGGTGTCTGGGTTTCAGGCTTTCTGAGGGACTGTGATTAAGGTTGAGGGTTCTGGGCTTTAGTCACAGGCCTTGGGGTTTATGGGCTTTCTGCCGGAACTGTTTTATGCGTTTTGGCGAGCTTCAACTTTGGGATAATTGTCCTGCTACAGTTGAACCAGACCTCGATTCAAAGCCTAAACCTCATATAACTCCCAGGCCCTGTGGTTTATGGTTCAGGGTTTAAGGGATGAGCCCTACATCCCTAAAGCTCGAAACCCTAAACCCTAAAACCCCAAACCCTAAAGCAGAAACCTTAAAAGTACATACAACCCTCACCCTAACCCTAAACCCGACTTTGGGATTCTAGGGATCACCGAAGTCCTGCAGCTTTTAGTGTTTCGGGGCGTTGGGCTTAGGGGTTTATATAAGGTTTTGGATTGCTGAGGATTGGCAAAGCGCAATTTGGCTGCTGCCGCAGCTGAACCCCTTGGGCGATCAGACTGCTTTCTGTGAGGCGCACAGGACAGTTTCTAGTGCTAAACCCCCCCGGAAACCACCAATCGCTGGTACAAAACCCTAGGAAGTCCCACCCAACCCTGCAAACACTTCCGAAAGACCTAAACCCTAAACCCTAAAGCTAAACACCTAGATCTTAGCCTCTAAACTTTACATTGGACATGAAGCTGCATGAAGCCCTACCCTCAAAGAGGCCATCAATGGCTGTGGGAAGGCCCAACAGTGGCCACAAGCCTTGGCAATTGTGGAAGATATTTTTGCCAGCAAGGCGGAATTGAGGTTTAGGATTTAGGATTTTAGGGTCTAGGGTTGAGGTCTTTAGGGTTTAGGGTCTTTAAGGCTGAAGTTGTCTCAAGGGGTTCCTTTGCGGGTTCCTGTCAATTGGTTCATCAGGATGTTGTGGGGGTTAGGCTAGGACTTGGGCAGTCCTCACAGGAGTTTCGTACAACTGTAAGGGTGCATATTCTCAGGGGTTGGGTAGGTAAGCTTTAACCTTTTGGTGGGGTTTATATAACCTTAACATAACTAGAAAGGTTAACTTTTTTGGAGCTAGGGCACTCGGCCCCCAGGTATTTGCCAGAGTTTTCTGTGCACATTACCGATATAGTAGGATGTAGGGTTTCTATATTCGGAGTTACTGATTTAGGGACGACCGCCCCCCCATAGCAGAACCCAGGACCTTCTACGAACCCTAAACCCTAAACCCTCAACCCTCAACCCTAAAAAACAAAAAACCTAAGCCCTAAACCCTAAAAAACACAAAATAAACCCTAAACCCTAAAAACGAAAAAAACCTCAAACTTGACAGGGATTTTGTGGAGCTGAGGCTTTCTCTTTGCACTTTCGGTGTCTGTTGAGACTGCCAGGTGCAAGCTCTAGCTTGACACTACCATAGTAGCTTCTTTTTGCCAAGCCCTGAAAAAAGAGTCTGTAGGGATGCTACCAAAAAGCCCTGAACCCTGAACCGTTTAAGGTAGGGTTGAAAGTTCAGGTTTTCAGACCACAAGGTCGAGAATGTATGGCTTCAAGTTCGAGGCCCGAGGCTTTCACTTCGCAACTTGAGGGTGTTGTGTGTTTTTGTTGGGTTTTGAGGTTCAAGTTTCAAGGTCTGAGGTCTAGGTTTTTGTTTCGGGTTTGTGGTTTAGAAATCACGCAAAACCTGTTTTTGCACGAGCTATGGGAATCTATGTGCAGGGTTGTTATATAATCCGCCTGGTTGGCCCTCGAAGGGCTTCTATAAGGGTTGACATGTAGAGCTCATGAAGTACAGCAGTGGTTTTTCGTATCATGCATGCAGAATGGGCTTCCAAGGTTTGTCCCGAACATCGGTTTTGACACTTTGCTGTAATGTGTTTCTTTCACTGCAGCCCCACGTCCCCTTATATAGTATACACATTCACTTAAATGGCTTTCTAGAAGGTAATCGGGAATATTCGTTTACTATATGGGTACAAGGACCCTGGCACCTGCGGGGTTTGGCAGGCAGAGCCCAGCATCTACTGCTTCAGCGCTGCGATCAACGCATGTGCCAAAGGAGGGCAGTGGGAGCTGGCCCTTGGCGTGCTGTCGAAAATGCAGACAGCGAGGATTTCCCGAATCCCTGTCTTGGGCTTGTAAGGAACCCAAAGGACGTCAAATACTATAGGGCCTTGTAGTAATTACCTATACTATTTTGGGAGCTTCTTAGTATAACTGTAGTAACATATACCCCAAAACCCTATTCTAATAATTAAGGCCCCTACATTAGGGATAGTTGCTTCGATTCAGTGCAGAACTGGTCCTGACATTAGGGACATTAGGCTCATAGGCTTTGCGTGCTTCCGTGCTATGCGACTTGGTTGCCGTAATTCGATCGATGGCAAGATTCCCCATGAGCCGTGCTGATAAGCTCGCTATTGTTTTGCAACTCTGTTTGCTTTCTGAACTCCTGGGCGCCGAACCCTAATATAGAAGCCTAAATAATTACCTATACATTTTTTGTTGGGGGGGGTCCTTATTACAACTATACTATACAGGAGCCCAAAACCCTACTCTAATTTTTGTGGCTTCGACATTACGCCCTGTAAACCTGGGCAGGACGCCACCGAATGCATTTAGCTACAGCGCCGCCATCACTGCCTGCGAAGCGAGCGGGCGGTGGCAGGAAGCTGTCGACACTCGGACAACATTCCAGCAAGTGGGTCCATCTGAGGTGTCGTGTCACGGACAGGTTCGGAATCACAAGTTCGTCTTGTGTGTTGCCGACAGAGTTCAAAGTTTGCAGTATCAACATACATTGGCGAGACCAAACCCAGACCTCAAACCCCTAGACCCCACACCCCAAGCCCTAAACCGAGGCATCTTCGTTGCTTTCGATTTGCCGGCCTGCACTCGGAAGTCCTGAACACGAAAAAAAGCTATAAAGCCCTACCGAAGTTTTTTAAAATGCTAACCAAACTCCTAAACCTGAAACCCCTAAACCCCCGAAAATGCTAAACCCCAAACCCTTTTTCAAGTCTGAAACCCTGAAGCCCCAAAGGCTAGAGCCGGCAATGCTCAACGCCGGCCTTTGAGCTCTGCAGAACCTTTTACACCCCCACAAAAACCCTTAGTTTAAGGTTTGGGGTTTAGGGCTTAGGGCTTCCTAGCCCAAGGCTCTAAGGCCTCATATGTCAAGGCCAAGGCTTTTGGCCTATATAAGGCTTTTGGCTATTTTGAGCCTTAGGGTTATGGAACCCGTCTAAACCCTTGAAAGCCGTGATCGTACGTACTTTCGCCGCCGCTAAGGGCCTGGGGTCTATAGGTGTCAGGGTTTAGACTTGCAAGCACTAAGGGCCTGCTTGCAGCCATGGCCGTGGCCAGAGTACCACTCAATGATGTGAGCCTCAACGCAGTCCTCAGCGCCTACAAGTCAGGTGAGGGTTTTGACCTAGGCTTGACATTGAGGGCTTATAGATTACGAGGTTTAGGATTTCGAAGTTAAAGGGGGGCTGGTGGTCTTGGATGTTGGGTAATTACAGCCCTACATGGTGTAGTGCATGTCTGGTCTGTCGCTGTCGTTGTTGTTGTAGGTTCGTTTCGGATGCATGCGCCCCCGGGTCCAAACATCTAGACGTGATATCGTTCTGCCCCAGCATGACAAGATGGGAACATATGTCAGCCCACGGATCTAGCAAGTGTATGCTAGCTAGAACATAAAGCGCAAAAGCTGTGAACTCAGTCTCTTTTTGGATCCCGGAGGCACAGAAGCCTGAAACCATCCTGAACCATTCTCCGAAACCTTGAGCCCACGCCGTAATCCCCAAGCTCTACACTCTCAATGCCTCAGCCCGACAGATGGTCGCTGGAGTTTGGCGCTGCACCTTCTTTCTGAGATGCCCACTATGGCTGTGGAGCCAGACCGCATCAGCTTCAACATATGCATGACTGCATGCGACCTGGTCAGGTGTGGTAGGGTCTAGTGTTCAAAGGTTTACCTAATGTAGAGTAGGTAAGCTGTGGCAACCCCTATGTCAGATGTGACCCCCAAGTGTAACCTTAGGTTAGGTTTTGAGGCGAAGGGAATACAGCAGACTGCATGCACGCCATCTGGCTTGCAGACAGCACGTCCGAAATCCCTAAACCCTAAACCCTCAACCCTAAAACCTAAACCATAAACCTCATGAAGGGGCTGATGGAGCTTGGCATGGCTAGGCTTTAGGGTTTAAGGTTTGCGGTTCAGGGGTCTAGGGTTTAGGGGTTCCGGGGGTCGGGGGTTTAGGGCTTAGGGTTTTTACCTAGATGCTCTTACCCTACCCCTTTTTTTAGGGTATCTGGTTTTATGGTCAGGATATGTTTGGTTGGAAAAGTAGGTACCGTTACAGCAGAGAGGATGGCGTACAAGTTGGGGCCGAAACCCTAAACCCTAAGCCCCTAAACCCTAAACCCGCACCTTAAATCCTAAACCCCCATTCCCCTCAACCCTAAACCCCTAAACCCCTAAACCCGAAACCCCTAAATCCTAAACCCCAAGCGCCTCAACCCTAAACCTTGGGGCTCAACTTCAAGCGTCTGCGGCTCAGAGATGAGGCGACGAGGCTGACGAATGGGAATGGGCTCTCTACCTACTCTCGGAAACTTCGGCATGGACAACTCCAACCGTTAAAGCCTTGCATACTTACTGGTTTAGGGTTTAGGGTTTAGGCTTAATTCAAAAAGCCTTGCATACTTAGAGGCCCAGGGGACTTAGTAAGTCGGTTATAAGTAGGGTTATAATTGGGGTAACTCCGTTTAGGGTACTTATAATTCTACTTAAAGTCCCCTGGACCACTCCAACCCTTAAAGTTCAGGGTTTAGGGGTTTAGGCCTTAAGGGTTCGGGTTTGGGGTTTAGGGTTTAGGGGTTTAGGGGTTTAGGCTTTAGGGTGTCGTAGGGTTTGGGGTTTTAGGGTTGAGGGGTTTAGGGGTTTAGGCTTTAGGGTCTTAGGGTTTGGGGTTTTAGTGTTCAGGGGTTTAGGGGTTCAGGCTTTAGGGTCTTTGGGGTTTTAGGGTCTAGGGGTTAGGGGAATAGTATGGACCCTTGGGTGAATGTGTAGGTTTCGGGTGAATATCGGGGCAAGAAACTAGTTCGAAGGGTTTTCGTGGTATATAATTTAGGAAATTTTGGATGTTCAGTCTTATCCATTGTTCTTTTGGCCGGTATTGGTTCTTTGTAATCTATAACTAGCCCAACGAAGTATACACGTTTTCCCAGTGGGTGGCTGGACAGCTTAGGAAATGCCTGCTGCCCGGCTTATGCCGAACGAGAGGGATTTCACTGCAACAATGAACGCACGCAAGCAAAGTGGTGCTGAGGAGAAGGGCTGAGGGTTCAGGGCTTAGGGCTTCGGGGCTTAGGGAGGGTTTAGAGTCTAGGGTTTAGAGTTTAGGGCTTAGGGCTTAGGGTTTAGGGCTTACGGTTCAGGATTTCGGGCTTATGTTGCAGTTTGTGTGGCTTGGAAACTCCATCGCGGCATCGTGCAGCCTCGATAGCCTCCTTGACCCAAGTGGCCCAAAACCCCAGCCCTCCAATTTAGGGTTTAGGGTGTAGGGTTAGGGTTTAGGGTTTAGGGTCAATAAGCAATCCCCTCAAGCCACATTGCCTCCTAGTCCCCTGGAACCCAACCTTGATGTAGGATCCGAATCCCGACACCTGCACCCCCAAAGCGCTGAACCCCGGTGGTCTCGAAGCTTCTGCCAGAGGAGGACATTCCTGGGCTAAGCTCGCTGGCGTCCATGGCCCATGCCAGGATTTCCCCCGATTTGATCCCGGGCATTGCTTGAGCAAAGAATGACGCAACGTAGGGTTTAGTATAGGGTTTAGGGACCCCAAACCCTCCACCTAACTCCTAAACCCTGTCATCTGTAACATCGGGCTTCGGTTTTACAGCGTCCATGTTAGGCGCACGGACCCTGTTAAACTCTATGAAGCCCTATGCTAGACCCTACATTGCCAAGGCAAATGGAAACTTGGGGTGACTCTGTCGCTGCTGCTAATATACTGCTGCTGCTGCTACTACTTTGCTACTGCTACTGTTACTACTACTGCAACTGCTACTGCAACTGCTACT